CTTGGCGGGCGGGGCACGCACCCGTGTGTCGCTTGTAGTGCTTCAGCATGTTGACCTTCTGCGCGAACTTGCGGTGGCACTCCTTGCACTCGTACTCCTTGATGCCCTTGTGCAGCTTCATGTGGTGGCGCAGCGCGTGCTTGGTCTTCATGCCTGGGGACGGGGCGGGTCAGCGCGCGCCAGGCCCCAGCGGCCCGCAGGGCCATCCCGAGACGCCTGTGCCAGCCTGACAGGCACAGATGTCCAGGGTCCTCAGAGGCCGCCCATGCCCGTGGGAGCGGTGGGTGACACCGGGGTGCCTGGCTTCCGGCGTGGCGGGCTTCCTGTCAGCTCTGAGGAGGAACTGCGCGGTTCCCACAGTGATGGCTAACCTCTTCTCTGGTCAGTTGTGGGGCTTGAATTCAGGGCCTGGGCATTGACCCTGAGCCTCTGTGTTCAAGGCTAGCCCTCTACCCCTTGAGCCACAGTGCCACTTCTGGTTTTTGAGTATTTATTGGAGGTAAGAGTCTCATGTCTCACGGGGACTTTTCTGCACAGGCTGGCTTTGAACCATGATCCTCACATCTCAGTCTCCTGAGTGTGAGCCACTGGCACCCAGCACTGTGTGTGCGTGTGCTGGTACTGGGGCTTAAACTCAGGGCCTGGGTGCCGTCATTGAGCTTTAGCGCTCAAGGGGATGCTTTATCACTTGAGCAAGTCCACTTCTGGCTTCTTGCTTGTTAACTAGAGGTAGCATTTCATGGACTTTCCTGCCTAGGCTGGCTTCAAACTGTGATCCTCAGGTCTCAGCCTCCTGGGCAGCTAGGATTACAGGGGCGAGCCACCAGCTCAAGCTCCTTTCGTAACTTAACACTGCCATCTTGAGAAGGCAGAGCCTTACACAGGCCAATGGGGAAGGGACATGTGGGTGCCAGTCTATTCGGGAGCGAGGGTCTCAGCCGGCCACGCAGGAGGCCAGTGTGTGCGCCAGGGGTCACGGCGGGCACTCAGCTGGCCCAGTGCTCACAGAGCAGACTGCTGGCTGCTGGAGGCAGGCGGAGGGCTCGGCTGGCTTCTCCCCGAGGACAAGCCTCCAAGGCACGGCAGGGCCGGGGGCAGCCGCCTGCACGTGGCTCATCGGCAGCTGGCCAACGGCCTGATCAGCCCCTCCCCCTCGCCAGAGAGCTGACACAGCCAGAATTCTAACACAGGGCCAGGGGGGTCTTACACAGCAGGGCCACCAGGGGGCGCAAGAGTGCTCAGCGAGGATTCGGGTTCAAGGGGCACTGGCAGACCTTTGACTCTTGAAGAGCTTTGACCTTAGGACATTATCCTTCATCTTCTGATTTAAAAAGCTCCTCCCCCCCCCCCCCCACACACACTTAAAGGGACACCACTGCAGGCGGTGAGAGGCTGGGCCAGAAAGGGAGTCCTGTAGCAGGCGCCAGGCGCCGGGGCACACAGGCCTGGTCTCAGGCCCCTGCCTCCCAGAAGGTCCTCGGTTTGAGTGCCACCGAGCGACAGTGCCACCGTGTGATGTCACCCTCTACAAAGGGCATGAGTAGGCCAGAGGAAGCCCCACCCCCTACTTACACAGACTAACGGTCAGATACCATTCCCGGTCTGTTTGCTCCTTCCAACACCTGACTCTCGTTATGTAGCAGTAGCGAGGAGGGCCAGGTGCTGGCGGCTTGTGCCTGCAATCCCAGCCACTCCTGAGGCTGAGATCTGAGGATGGCTGTTTGAAGCCAGCCAAGGGCAGGAAAATTCATGAGACTTAACTCCAGTATCTACAGCTCAAGTGGTAGAGTGCGGAGCCTTGAGCAAAAGAAGCTACCCAGGGCCAGGCGGCAGAGGCTCAGGTCTGGGATCCTAGCGACTAAGGAGGCTGAGATGTGAGACTCTTCTCTCCAATTAACCACAAAAAGCTGGAAGTTTATCTATGGCTCAAGTGGAAGAGCACTACTTGAGCACAAAAGCTCAGAGATGGTGCCTAGGATCTGAGTTCAAGCCTCAGGACCATCAGAAAAGAAAAAAAAAAAAAGCTATTCAGGCCCTGAGTTCAAGCACCAGTACGTGTGCACACACCCTGTGCTGTGTTTTTCATTCTGCTGATGGGGCGATGTGCCTGGAGGCTGGGCACAGCACTGCTTTCTTTCACAGGACTGGGATGGATTCCCAGGCCGCGGTGGCAAGGTGCTGCCAGCGGCTGCCCCAGTGGACACGGGTGGACACCGTGGTCCTGGATCACCGCACAGACATAGCCTCCTCCTTGGAGGAGGGCTTGCTTGTGCCTTTTGGATCACCTTGTTTTTCTGCTGGAATCTTCCTGAGTTAATGCTCCTGCATCTTTCTTTCCTTGTGATTGAGGCCTGTGGCGCTCCCTGCACCGCCACGCGGCCACCTGCCAGTCCCTGCTGCCCTCCCGTAGGGGGCCACCTGGCCAGCAGCAGGGCCCACAGCACGGCTGCTCCATGGCTCCGTGGCACCGGCTGGCATGGCCCCAGGCCAGGATGGCACCCGCCTCTCCAGCCCCGGCACCCAGCCCCTCCCACCCGGCCCCCACTTCTCCCACCCCGGCGCCCGGCCCCTCCCACCCGGCCCCCACTTCTCCCACCCCGGCGCCCGGCCCCCACCTCTCCAGCCCCAGTGCCTGGCCCCTCCTACCCGGCCCCCACCTCTCCTGCCCTGGCGCCCGGCCTCTCCCGCCCGGCACCCACTTCTCCCATCCTGGAGCCCAGCCCCTCCTGCCTGGCACCCACCTCTCCCGCCCCGGCGCCTGGCCCTTCCTGCCTGGCACCCAGCCCCTCCTGCCTAGCACCTAGCCCCTCCTGCCCGGCCCCCACCTTTCCCACCCTGGCACCCAGTCCCTCCTGCCCGGCCCCCACCTTTCCCACCCTGGCACCCGGCCCCTCTCGCCCGTCACCCACCTCTCCCGCCCTGGCGCCCCGCCCCTCTCGCCCGGCACCCACCTTTCCCACCCTGGCGCCCGGCCCCTCTCGCCCGGCACCCACCTTTCCCGCACTCGGCACACAGGTACTCGCGGATGTCATCGTGCACGCGCATGTGCTCCTTGAGCATGTCCTTCCTGGCGAAGGACTTCCCGCACTGCTCACAGGCGTGGCTCTTCACACCTGCAAGCCCACAGCCACACTGCAAAGCGGGCAGAGGCAAGGAGGCAGTGCCCAGGCCCCGGTGGTCACCTGTTCATGGGGCCCAGGGCTTCGCTCGGGCTGGCCTGGGACGGCCCAGGAGGGCTTGAGTGTGGCGGGATGGGGCACTGCGTGGGGAGGGGCGTGCGTGCCCAGAAGAGGGAAAGAAGATGGAGAGGGGCGGGAGGAAGGTGAGGGAGCCTCTGTGTCACACCTGCGTGAGCCCCAGCGGTCCCTCCTGCAGCTCCCGCCCGCTCCACAATAGCCAGGTGCCGCCGGTGGCTCATGCCATCATCCTAGCTACTCAGGAGGCTGAGAGCTGAGGATCGAGGTTCAAGGCCAGCCCAGGCAAGAGAAGTCCATGAGACTCTCATCTCCAATGAACCAGCAGAAAACCGGAAGTGGCGCTGTGGCTCAAGTGGTAGGGCGATCGCCTTGAGCTGAAGAGCGGAGAGGCAGTGCCCAGACCCAGAGTTCAAGACCCACGACCAACAAAACAAAAACAAAAACAAAAAAACAGCCTGCTACCTGTGTGGATGAGCTTGTGACGCTCCAGGTTTCCGATGCTGTTGAAGATGCGCCCACAGATCTCGCAGGGGTGAATGTACCTGGAGCAGAGACGAGCCTCAGTCCGCTAGTCCCGGCACTGGGCTCCACGGTGCTCCCCGAATCCTCCGCGGAGGCCGGAGCCCCACGGCCTCAGGGGGTGGCGTTTCCAGAGGGGACCACGGGGAAGCAAGGCCACCAGCCTGTCCTGGTCAGCGGCCAGGACACACACCTCGGGATGGGCTGGGACACGGGAACCAGCCCTGCCGCGCCTCCTCGCAGACGCTGACCGCAGGGTGGCTGGCGCTGGTGTCTGACCCCGGTCTGTGGGCTTGGGCACAGCCTCTACGCCAAACCTCACCGAGGGCTTTCACCCGGCACAGCCTCTACACCAAACCTCACCGAGGGCTTTCACCCGGCACAGCCTCTACGCCAAACCTCACCGAGGGCTTTCACCCGGCACAGCCTCTACACCAAACCTCACCGAGGGCTTTCACCTGGCACTGGTTCCGGTTCCAGCTGCAACTGACACTGGCTCCAGAGGGGGTGGGGGGGGCAAGGGTCCTAGGGTCCCTCCCGTGGCTGGGGATGGAGCTGTTCCCTGATACAGGGCCGCCCGGGGAGGGCAAGAGGTGAGGCCAGGAAGGGGCTGTCAGGAACACGCAGGCCGCCCCAAGGTCCTGGGTGTGGTGACGCTCCTTGGCTGGCCAGAGCCATCTCTGTATAAATGCCCCACCCCGCCTCACCCCTGCACTGTACAAACCTCTGTTCTACCCCCGCCTCACCCCTGCACTCTGCACAAACCCCTGTTCTGCCCCCCCGCCTCACCCCTGCACTCTGCACAAACCCCTGTTCTGCCCCCCCCCCCGCCTCACTTCTGCACGTTGGGGTCGGGCAGGTTCTCGCGGTGGATGACCATGTGCGCGTGGTACGTGGCCTTGAGTGCGAAGCGCCGGTGGCAGATGCTGCAGCCGTGGCCCTTCTCCTTGTGCACCTCCATGATGTGCTTCAGATACTCCTTCCCGCGGCCGAAGGTGAGCTGCAGGCGGGCAGGCGGGCGGGGCCGTGACACCACTGTGCCAACGCCGCCTCGGAGAATGCGACACGCGGGGGCCGGGCCAGGAGCCCCGGGGGGGGGGAGGGGACGCGACACGCGGGGGCCGGGCCAGGAGCCACGGGGGGGTGGGGGACGCGACACGCGGGGGCCCGGCCAGGAGCCCAGGGGGTGTGGGGGAGTTGCAGCCACAGCCACGCAGGGCCCAGCAGGCCACCAGGTCCTCAGAAACAAGGGATGGAGGTCAGGCCGGCCCAGCCCCACCCTGGGGGCGGGCCTGGTGACAGGTGGGCTCCAACGGGCTGGAGGCCTGCAGCCAGCATCCGCAGGTGCCAGGGACTCGGGACAGCGTTGCTGTGCGCGGCTCCGGCCCTCCCATCCCCCCATGCACCTGGCAGCGCTTGCAGCTGTACTTGTGCTCCCACACACACGCACACACCTGGCAGCGCTTGCAGCTGTACCTGTGCCCGCACACACACGCACACACCTGGCAGCGCTTGCAGCTGTACTTGTGTCCCCCCCGCACACACACGCACACACCTGGCAGCGCTTGCAGCTGTACTTGTGCCCCCCCCCGCACACACACCTGGCAGCGCTTGCAGCTGTACTTGTGCCCCCCCCACACGCACACACTTGGCAGCGCTTGCAGCTGTACTTGTGCCCCCCCCACACGCACACACACGCACACACCTGGCAGCGCTTGCAGCTGTACTTGTGCCCCCCCCACACACACGCACACACCTGGCAGCACTTGCAGCTGTACTTGTGCCCCTCACACACACACGCACACACCTGGCAGCGCTTGCAGCTGTACTTGTGCCCCCTCGCACACACGCACACACCTGGCAGCGCTTGCAGCTGTACTTGTGTGCCCCCCCCGCACACACACACACCTGGCAGCGCTTGCAGCTGTACTTGTGCCCCCCCCACACACGCACACACCTGGCAGCGCTTGCAGCTGTACTTGTGCCCCCACACACACACACGCACACACCTGGCAGCGCTTGCAGCTGTACTTGTGCCCCCCCACACACACACGCACACACCTGGCAGCGCTTGCAGCTGTACTTGTGCCCCCCCCCCACACGCACACACCTGGCAGCGCTTGCAGCTGTACTTGTGCCCCCCCGCACACGCACACACCTGGCAGCGCTTGCAGCTGTACTTGTGCCCCCCCACGCACACGCACACACCTGGCAGCGCTTGCAGCTGTACTTGTGCGGCTCCGAGTCGGCACTCCCGTCCGAGTTGTCGTCGTTCTCCTCCGAGGAGATCCCGATCTTGCCAATGAACTCCTCCCGCTGATGCTCGTCCATCAGCGCGATGTCCTGCGGGGCAGCACAGCCGTCACAGCCCCGCCAGCGCCCCGCCCACCGCCGTGGTCCCGACGACACAGGCTGGCCTGGTCACCTGTGCCAACAAGTCACAGTTGCTGTCCCTGGGTAGGGCGTGGCGTCTGGTGCTCGGTCACCCCCACAGCGGCTCCCCCGCCCTTCATCACGCCATCCCCCACCTGGGCTCCCTCCATCCTTGAGGCGGGGGTGACAGCCCCACTCTGCCTCTCACTTCCTCCCAGGAGCCGCCTGGGCTGGAATCTCAGCTGCACCACACGACCCGTGCAACTGGGGTACAAAAGCTTCTTGGAGAAGTTGATTACGGCCACGTTAGGGCGCAGTGAGGGTCTGCAAGCTGCACCCAGGATCCACCCACTGGGATGGTGTGGAGGAGATGGGTCGGGAGGGCGGCCCTTGCAGACACGAACCGTGTTTCACAAATGGGCCTGGAACTCCATCTCACCCCACCCCCGCCACTGGGCACCCAGCAAGAAGGCCGGAGAAGCCGACACCAGCGGGGAGCCCGCCCGAGCCACCGCTGGCCTTCCAGGTGTAGGAGGGTACATGGCTGTCGCTGCGCCTGGTCCACGGCGCCGTCAGGACCGCACCGCCCAGACAGACGGGGCTCAAGGACCCGCGGGCCGGGTGCTGCCTGGAGAGGCTGGGAACACGCGCCCCGACGTGGGGCCCGCGGGCCGGGAGACGCGCACCTTGAAGTGGACGTGGATGTGGTCCCTGAGCACGTCCACACGGAAGAACTTGCGCCCGCAGATCTCACAGGTGTACTTCTTGTCGCCGTGCGTGAGCAGGTGCTTGTTCATGTTGCTGCGGCAGGAGAACACCTGGGGGCAGGACAGCGGCACGGAGAGGCTGAGAGGCCTGGCTGGACACGGACAGGCCCAGCTGGACACGCGGAGGCCCGGCTGGACACGCGGAGGCCCGGCTGGACATGCGGAGGCCCGGCTGGACATGCGGAGGCCCAGCTGGACACGGTGAGGCCCAGCTAGACATGGAGAGGCCCGGGTGGACACAGAGAGGCCCGGCTGGACATGGACAGGCCCAGCTGGACACAGACAGGCCTGGCTGGACACGGAGAACTCTGACTGGACATGGAGAGACCTGGCTGGTATGGAGAGGCCTGGCTGGACATGAAGAGGCCCGGCTAGACATGGAGAACCCTGACTGGACACGGAGAACCCTGACTGGACATGGAGAGACCTGGCTGGTATGGAGAGGCCCGGCTGGACATGGAGAGACCTGGCTGGACATGGAGAAGCATGGCTGGGGAGAAGCGTGACTGGACACAGAGAAGCCCAGCTGCGCATGGAAGAGCCCTGTCTGGTCCTCAGGGGAAGCCTTGGCCAGCACAAGGGCACAGGTGGTCTCTGCCAGCATCTAAGTCCCGCCAGTGGCTCGGTGAGTGGGAAATGCCAGTGCCCAGCGCAATGACTAGGCTGACTTGTTCGCACAGGTAAACACTGTGTCTGTGGGCAGGGCAAGGCCCCTGTGCCCGCCTGCCCAGAGCAGTGGCAAGCGGACTGCCTGCAGTGCTAGGAGCACTGAGCACGGGGCATCTCCACTGACGGCCTGCTCTGCGGCCAGGAAGCGGGCACGGGCGCCCTGGCCAGGCTGCTCGAGCGGCCTCCGCCATCCCACGCCGGCCTCAGCTCCAACCCGTAGCTCCAGGTTACACGCCGGCCCAGGGGCCCGGCTCACGTGAAGGTTTGATTCAGGAGGTTTTAGATGAAAATACAGATTTCCACTTCCTCTTGAAAAGGTAAAAACACCTTGGTCGTACGGCCCTGTGTGCCGGGGCCAGGGTGGAGTTGGCTGCCCGCGTGGGGCTTGGCTTTCCTGGATGTGTGGTGGCTCCAGGGTGCCGGTGGCTCCCGTGAACTGCGTGTAGCTACGGCAGTGAGCGAGACCCTCCCCGCCCCCCGCCCGCCTCCCGCGCTGCCTGGGCGAGGGCCACACGGGACCCTCTGGGAGCTGGGCAATGGCAGCATGCACGTTGTGGGGCCGTGAGGTCCAGCCCTCTAGCACAGCGGGCACCTGCAAGCCACCCGGTGGTGAGAGGTGGTGGGTCTGACCTCAGCCCAGACAAGGTGCTCAAAGAACAGGGCATGTGGCCGGGGACTGAGGGCTCACATCTGTGAGACCTGGAAGATTACAGTCTGAAGCCAATCCGAAAAGCAGTAAGGTCTTGGGAGACTTCATCTCCAATGAACCAGCAAAGAGCTTGGCTGGAGGCAGGGCTCAAGTGGTCAGAGCGCCAGTCATCAGCAAGCAAAGCCAAGTAAGAGCGGCAAGACCCTGAGTTCAAGCTCTGGTACAAGCAATAAAAAGAAGAGAGCCAGGTACATTCACGGCTCCGCGGCGGCGCCGCATGGCTGGGCAGCGCCAGCTGTTTCTCAGACAGAATCGCACTGCAGGACACGAGACAAGGCCGGGACACTGTTTCTTCCTGCCAAGGCCACCTGAACATCTGTGAGCCGTCATCTTCGGTGTAGACAGTCCCGCGGGGCGTGGCCGGTGCCGCGCATCCAGCAGCTTCCGTGGGAGGGGTCGCCTCTGACTTAGAAAATGGTGGGGGGGGGGGCTGGCCGTTACCAGGGAGGCCAGCACTGACAGGCGATGCTCTCAGGCCCCGGGCCTCCTGCGCCCTCGGTGTGCTGCGCCCAGCCCTTGCGTAAGCTCGAAGACACTCAGCCAGAGCACACGGGCCGGCTGCAGCGCGGGCAGAGAGCACGGCTGAGGAACACGAACGCTTCTCAGCAGATACACTGGAAGCCCAAGGACAGCACAGGACCCGGCCCAGCCCCGAGCGTGGCTGGCCAGCGCCCCCACGAGAATGCCACGCACACAGGAGCCGGCTGTGACCTGCGCCCATCCACATCCACCCCACCCCACGTGTTACCTTGCCACACACGGGACATCCAGAAGGTTCCTTCTTATAGCGGACCAGGCTCTCCCCGCTGGCCTCCAGATCTTCTCTCTTCACCCGCCGTACTCCTGAAACCCCACACCCACAGGAAATGTGAGGACGGGAGGGCAGCCCCGGCTGTCCAGATGGGAGGCAGGGCTGGGCGCAGAGCACACCGCCTTTCCACTGCTGGGGGTTCATCTCTGGGCCTCTAAGGGAGCCGCACCCTCGGTGCTTTTGCGTTAGCCGTTTATCAGATCGGGCCTCCCGCTTTTGCCCAGGCTGACCTTAGACGCTGAGCTTTGGCCTGTGCCTGCAGGGTAGGCGGGATCACAGGTGTGGACCATCACACTTGTTTTTGAAATGGGGTCTCACTAATTTCGTACTCAGGCGGGCCTCAAACCACAAGTTGTCTCTCTGCCTCTTGAATAGCGGGGGTTACAGGAGCGAGCCACTCTACTGAGCTTTGAAAAAAGACTCAAGAGTTCCCACGGGGAGGTGTGGCGGTACACGCTGTAGTCTCCGGCATGGAGGCTGACAAGGGAGGCTTCCTGGAGCTGATCCTGGGCCAGTACGGGCAACACGGAGGGATGCGTTGTGTTTTTGAGACAAAAAAGTGCACGTGAGACAAGTAATGTCTAAACTTTACAGGGGGAGAGACGTGTGGCGCTGTGGTAGGCGATTCAATCAGGGTCTCCCCGACTCCCATCCCGGGAAAAGGGGCATCACACCCCCACGGGGCCAGCCACGGAACGGGCACAGGCGCGTCCTGGCTGCCTACGGCCAGGGAAAGAGAAGAGTGCAGAGCTGCAGAGCTGCGTAGGAGTGTGACCCTGCTCTTGATTTCCAAACCCGTGAGCACTCTCGGAACAGTGATGGTAAGAGGGTCAGTGCGCGGCGTCGCCCAGGGTGGGCGGCACTGGTGGCAAAGGCAGCAGGTCATGGTGGGACTTCAGGTGGGCCTGAGTCAAAACGCGAGTCCAGGGGAAATGTTTCCCGGAAGAGCACGCAGCTCTGGGCTGGCCCTGGAGAACGGCGTCCCGCCGTCCACTCACAGAGGCCGCAGCCACACCTGGGGCCCGGCCTGAGCGCGGCTCGGGCCACGTCCCCCACCCCCGCGGCTCCTCAGCCCACGCTGGCTCCACCTCCCACATCCACACTGCGAGGTCCCCGCGAGGCGGTGTCCCCGTGGCCTCTCGTGACCCTGGGTGTTCAGGCAGCCCCAGGCCGGCGTCATGGCTCCACCTCTGGGGCCACACGGAGGCAGAATGCGGGAGGAGGGGAGCGCTGGGGCCTACACTACAGCTCTCTGCTCTGCATGGCCGAGCTGTCCCGTGCCCAGCTCCGTGCCAGCCTCCTACCCCTCACGGGAAAGCATTTTTCATGGTATGAAAAATCTCTTTAAAGAAGTGCTTTCAGCCCGAGACTGGAGGCTCATTCCTGTAACCCTAGCTACTCATCCTCCTCCTGACCCAAGCCAGCCTGGGTCGGGAAGCTCGTGGGATTCTTCCCTCCATTTCAGACCACAGAGCCCGAAGCGGAGCTGTGCCTCAAGTGGTAGCATGCCAGCCTCGAGCAGAAAAGCTCAGTGACGGAGCCCAGCCCTGAGTGCATGCCCCAGGACTGGCACACGGTAAACTACAATGCTTTTGGTGACTGAGCGACATGCAGTCCTGGGTGCCCAACCCCCACTGTTTCCAAGTCCCTCCCTGGCTCCCAGAACAGGCGCATCTGATGGGTGGCAGCGCAGCATGGCCGGGCCTCCCCCCTCCCCGCCCCCGCGCGCACTCACCCTCCAGGTGCCGCCGCTGGTGGTCCAGCATGACGTCCTTGCGGTAGAACATCTTGCTGCAGACCTCGCAGGCGAACTTCTTGTCCCCGTGCTTCTTCTTGTGCTTGGAGAGGTTGCTGTTGGTGGAGAAGAACCTGAAGCACAGCTCACACCGGAACGTCTTGTCGTCTGTCCAGGGGCAAACACACACCGGGGTAAGAGACGCGATGTGGGGCTGGCGCGGGGTCTGCGGCGGCAGAAAGCAGGGGTCGGGGCAGGAGGCCGCGGCCGGGAGTGCCCGTAGCGTGCACGGCGGGAGCAGCCACGCGTGGGGCGCATCCTCCACGCCAGCCACCCAGCCCTCCTCCCCTGACAGCCGGGGCTGAGTGCGGGAGGCTGCCGGGGCCTCCCTCCCCGCTCAGCCATGGCTGCCCCAGGGGCCCCTCAGTGCCCCTTCTGCCAAGGTGCGTACCCCAAGATCCCCACCTCCTGCAGTTCCCAGCAGACCTCACTCCCTCAGCACACGCCACACACACCAACGCGCGCGCACACACAGTCTCCAAGGCTTCCGGAAGTATCCGCATCCCTGAATAGTCCTCTCTGGAAGGCAGCTGGTCCCCGCCCAGCTCCCTCCCGACCCCCGCCATCTTGTCCTGATGCGCCCCCTGTGCCCACAGCCCTCTCCGGTCCATGGGGCCTCCTGAGCTTCCTCGCCAGAGCCACGGGTGGAGGGCTGACCAAGGAGGAAGCCAGGGCGGGGTCGCCTCTCCAGGCCCCGCCCCCCTTCCCGGCGTCCTCCAGCCCGCCGCCTGCCCTGGAAGTGACGCGGGACAAGCCAGCATCTCCGGGAGCCGCAGCTAGGGCAGCGGGCCGTCCGCTCCGGGCAAACCTTCGCCGGGGGCCGGGCGGGGCCTCACCGGTCCGGCAGTTGTGGAACTCCAGCGCGCTCTCCATGCGGAAGGCCTTCCCGCAGCTGCCGCAGCGGAACTGGTACTCGCCGTCCACCTGTCAAACGCAGACCGCATGCAGGCCCCGCCGCGGGTCCCCCTCCTACTCTCCTACACACAGCGTGGGGCTTTTGGGGGCTGACTCGGGGGCTCGAAGGAGGAGGCTGCTTGGCTTTTTCCCGGCACTGCCCCACCTGAGCCACACGTCTGGTTTTTGCAGGTTAACTGAAGGTAAGAATCATGCCAGGCGCTGGTGGCTCACGCCTGTAATCCTAGCTACTCAGGAGGCTGAGATCTGAGGATCGCGGTTCAAAGCCAGCCCGGGCAGGAGAGACCGTGAGACTCCTATCTCCAATAAACCACCAGAAAACCGGAAGTGGCACTGTAGCTCAAGTGGTAGAGCGCTCGCCTTGAGCTGAAGAGCTGAGGGACAGCGCCCAGGCCCAGGGTTCAAGCCCCACAGCCGACCAAAAAAAAAAAGAATCTTGTGGACTTTCCTGCCTGAGCTGGCTGCAAACTGTGATCCTCACATCTCAGCCTCCTAAGGGGCTGGGATTACAGGCCACTAGTGCCAGGCTAGAAACAATTTTTAACTCTTTCTAGTCAAGTGCTCAATTCACTACCACGCTTCCCCTGCCAACACGCACACGCTGCCCGTGAGCATCCATGGATCCACCCACCTCATTCCTGCTGTGCTTGTAGGACACGTGCTGCTTTAGGCTCTCCTTACGGCTGAACAATTTTGCACACTCTTCACACTTAAACAGCTTGTCACCTAGGGGCCACGAAAGGGAAGCTGCCTCACTACCGCAGGCCTTGGCGGGGTGAGTGGCGCCCCGCCCCCTCCGCGTTCCGGTGCTGCTGCCAGCACCCCCCCCCACACACACACACTCACCGTGCGAGCGCACGTGGCGGCTCAGGTTGCTGCTGTTCTGGAACACCTTGCTGCACGTGCCGCACTGGTGCACCCGCTTGTGCTCCCCGAGCTGCCGCACCAGCCGGCGCCGCGCACCGTGTCTGCTGGACAGCACCAGGCCCCTCTTGAGGGCCAGGGCGCCGCCCACGTGGTGCGTGAACCTGCATGGGGGGAGGGGCAGAGGCGGGTCAGAACCGGGGCTCTGGGCCGCCCAGGGGACAGCACCAGCGGGGGGGGGGAGGGGGCCGTGCCCCGGAACCCCACCGGCCCTCAGTGTCCTGACAGATTCCGGCACTCCAACAGGACCTTGGCTTACCCAGGAATTGTAACTTAAAGATACATGTTATGCCTGTTCACAAAAAGGAAAAAGGGAACAGAACTAAACCGTAGATTTACTCAAATCCAATAGAAAACTGGTTCATCAATATTATTCACCATAGCCAGAGTAACCCACGCTGCCTCTGGATGAATGGATAATCAAAGAGGGTACACACACCAAGGGAGTATTATGCAGCCTCGAAAAGGATAGGGAAATTCCGACAGCTGCCACATCGGTGAACTTCAGCCCACTGCGCTACGCTAAGCGAGTCACACCCATCGCCAAAGGACAAGCAGCAGAAGACTCCACTTCTGGGAGACCCTCAACAGATGGAGTCAGAGACTACAGAAGACGGTGCTGGAGCTGGGAGCCACTGGCCAATAGAACAGAGCTTCTGTTTGGGATGATGGAAGGTTCTAGAGATGGACAAGTTCTTAAAAGACAACTTTTAAGTTTTCGCAGTGGACAACCTACCGAACTCCTGAGTTCCAGCGCACTCCAGATGCTCCTGAGGCACATGCAAGTCTGGCTGTAAGTGACAGTCTGCCAGGACCTCCAGCATCCCTCACCCCACCAGCGCCCCCGGCCCGTCCCCAGGGAGGTGGGACTCACTTTGGCACAGAGCTGATGTCGTTTGTGGAGGTGGCCAGCTTCCCCAAGACCAGCTCCATTATCCGCTCGTCGGGCGCTGCGCTGCCAGGCTCCTCAGGCAGGCCCTCGGGGACAGTCTCTGCCACTTGCTCTGTGCGGGGGGGCGGGAGGGGGACCAAGCCGGTCAGCATGGGCCACACAACCCCGGGACGCAGCACCCAGGCCCGGAGCCAGTGGCGTGGGTGTAACTGGTAAGGCTTATGCAGAGAAAGACCACTCGTATTTTGGACTTACATATTTACCTTTTTTTTGTTTTTGACAGTCCTAGGGCTTGAACTCAGGGCCTGGGCACTGTCTGTGAGCTTCTTTTGCTCGAGGCCAGTGCTCTACCACTAGAGCCACAGTGCCACTTCTGGCTTTTTCTGTGTATGTGGTACTGAATAATGGAACCCAGGGCTTCATGCATGCTATGCAAGCACTCTACCCCCAAGCCACCTTCCCAGCCCTGGAACTAAGTATCGGTGTCATAAGAAAAGCAAAGCTGGGCCTGATGGCTCACACTGGAAGGCAGAGATTCTGAGGATGGAGGCCAGCACGGCAGAAAGTTCACAAGATTGCATCTCAACCAGTAAAAAGCTGGGCAAATCAGAGGGAAATGGGAGGGGCCCATCAGCTGCACTGGACATGGATGAAAATGAACTAAGCAACTCAAGGGCAGCGGTGGGAGGGAGGGAAGGAAAGAGAAAGAAGGAACAGCTTACACTAAGCAAAAGGAAAGAAAGGTGCATATCACCCACTGCGGAAGAAATAGTTGTATTGCCAAAACTGATAGACTTTACAAGCTCCATAGACCATGATAATGAGAATTTGCCTTGTGAAGGTTAAAATGTGTTTGTGACTTTTAAGTAGCACTATCCCACAATACTGTGAAATTTATGTAATCACCTAAATCTCAATAAAAAATTATTTCAAAAGAAAAGCTGGGCAAGTGTCACGTGTGTGTCATCTCAACGATGTGACACGCACTAAACAGCAGGAGCAGGGGCCATGCCTCAAAAACGCAAAACAAAACCAAAGCAAGCTAGGCACTGGTGGCTCACGCCTGCAATGCTAGTTACTTGGTGGCTCAGATCTGAAGATTGAGATCAGCCCCAGCAGAAAAGTCTGTGAGATTCTTACCCCCAATTAATGAGGAAAAAGAAAACAAAACAGGACGTGTGGCTCCAGTGGTAGAACACCAGCCTTGAGCAGAAAAGCCGAGGGCAAGCCCCTGAGCTCAGGCCCCAGCACCCAGACACACCCCACAGAGACCAAAGCAAAAGTCACATGTCCAGGGGCAGCTCAGGCCGTTAAACACAAGGCCCTAAGTGCAAACCCCAGTACTGCAAAAGAAAATGCTTTCCTTAACTCACGTTGAAGTTAAGATTTGGGATTAAAAAAATATATACATATATGTATATACATGTACATATAGTGTTATAACATTACTTCAATCCTTCTTCATACCAAACAAAAAACACTTTAGACATATACCAGGTCTTATAATTTACATCAAATAAGCACAACAGGGGCTCAAGCTGGAAACCAGGTAACAATCACCCCTAACTATCTCTGATCATGAGCACCCAGGAGAGGAATGATGTTTCCTGTCCCCTCCCACCTTCTGCCCTGCTGCAGAGGGGTGGGGTATATGCGGGGGGTGGGGGGGAGTGAGGGGGGTTGTTAGGAGAGGATAAGGAGGCAGAGGGGGGAGCCAGGCCAGGTCTGGTGGTGGGGGGCTGGGGGGCTGGCTGGAGGCGGGGATAGAGGGAGGGCCAAGAACAGCCCACGAAGATGCTCTTCCCAGAATACCACAGATGGTAAGAAGAGTGCCCAGTGCCAGGCTCACAGGGCTGGCACGCTTAGCATCACGCCACAGTGTGAGTGCGCAGAGATCAGAGCTTCCCAGAAAGTTGACGGGACTCCACAGAGGATTGGGGAAGGCCGGCCAGGCGCAGGCCGGCTCTGCGCCGGCTCCTGGGCAGGGGGGGGCACGCAGCGGCATGTGCCGCCCGACCTCTCTGGGCCCTGGGCACCGGCCCCAGCCCCTCACCTGTGGGAACCTTCTCCCCAGAGGTGGCCGAAGGCGGCTCAGCTTTTGAAGCTTTGGGCTTCCTCCCTCTTCGAGGCTTTTTCTTTGGCTCTCGGGCGGTCCCCACGCTCTGGACCCCAACTCTCTCGGGCACAGTGGGTGGCTCCCCTCCAGCTGTGTCTGGCTCCTTGTCAGATGCTGCCTCCTGCTGGCTGCCTGGCGGAAGGCTTTTGGCTTGTTCCAAGTGGCCCACGAGATGCTCTGTAAGGGAAGAGCAGCAGGCTGGCACGTGGGCAGGCTGGCGCTGTCTGCCCGTTACTTTGCTTTGCCCCAGCATCAGAATGAAGCCACATGCCCACCAGTTTTGTTTTGTTTTTGTCAGTCGTGGGGCTTGAACTCGGGGCCTGGGCACTGTCCCTCAGCTCTTCAGCTCAAGGTGAGTGCTCTACCACCTGAGCCACAGTACCACTTCAGGTTTTCTGGTGGTTTATTGGAGATAAGATTCTCACAGACTTTCCTGCCCAGGCTGGCTTTGAACTGTGATCCTCAGATCTCAGCCTCCTGAGTAGCTAGGATGAAAGGCATGAGCCACCGTGGCCTGGGTGTCCACTGGTTTTAAAAACAAAACCATTTCCAGTGTGCCAAACAACTCCAGGCTTATTTGAAACTAGTGAGGTCAGAAGAGCTTTGGATTTTAGAGCATTGTGCATTTCAGGTCTCAGAATCCCAGAGCACTTCAGATCCTGGATTTCGGATTCTGGGTTTTCAGCTGATTTTCACCACTGAGCTGGAACTTGCTAAAAGTAACTTAAATGATGAAGGCAGGACAGGTTTGCTTCAAAGGCAGAAGGGAAAAACTAAATGCACAGACAAACCTATGCAGAAGAAACCTGGACAGGCTACATGGGGAAATGAGTGCATTTTTCTACTCATGCCAAAATAATGAGCAATCCCAGTTTTCTTCTTTAAGCATATGCATATATATGTACATATATGAGTAATTTTTGTTGTTGTTGCTGCAATGAACATGTCTTCTATAAAGGCAGCATCTAGAGGACTACTAAGAAAATTACGGCTTGTAGGAAGGAACATTTCCTCTAAAAACACTGCATGAAGGCAACACTTCTTGGCTGAAGTTGAGCAGGTAGAACGTGTCAGAGACCACCCAAGACAAGATTGCTGAAAAAGTCACGGGGAGCAGGAGCAGGGAGAAGAGGCGAGGGGTGGGGTGGGTGAGCGAGGCGGGGACGGCAGGGCGCCCTGGCTGGACGAGGCGCGGGGTGGGTGAGCGAGGCGGGGACCACAGGGCACCCTGGCTGGACGAGGCGCCACAACAGGCAGAGGGGAGCGCGTGGCTGATCTGCAGCAGGCAGTCTGGGCACCCCGCAGCCCAGGCACCCCGCAGCCCGGGCACCTCGCAGCCCCAGTGCACCCCGCAGCCCCAGGGCACCCCGCAGCCTCGGCACCCCGCAGCCCCAGGGCACCCCGCAGCCCCAGGGCACCCCGCAACCCAGGCATCCCGCAGCCCCAGGCACCCCGCAGCCCCAGGGCACCCCACAGCTCCAGCAGCCCACAGCCCCAGTCACCCCGCAGCCCAGTCACCCCGCAGCCCCGGCACCCCGCAGCCCGGTCACCCCGCAGCCCCAGGCACCCCGCAGCCCCAGGCACCCCGCAGCCCCGGGCACCCCACAGCCCCAGACACCC